GCTTTGTTTTAGAAAACCGTCCTCTTCTTAAAATTACTTCAGTTGTCAGACCAAATATTCAGATTCCCTGCCACAATATCAATAGCAAAAGACTGAATACATCTTCCTTAGGAAATCACATCACGCAGTTGACCTGCAGATGTCTTGGAAAGAGAAAGAAGGTGAGATCTTAGAGCCCAGCACCCTCCTTGAGAATCTGTCTACTGAATGCATGAGAAAAGCAAAAAACTTTTCCAATTTCTTTAAAATCAATTTTAAACCAGTCTCAGAACAACTGAAGGTGCATTTCTGCAGTACAGGCACCTACCTCCCTCATTTTTTAGTAATGCTGGCTCTAGTTCACAAATACGGTACTATTTTTATTTTTATTTTGTTTTGTTTCTTTTTTTCAGTTTATGCCAAGCAATAAAATAGGTTCCCTGAAATATAAGCAGCAGAACTAGTATATGTAAAATATGATTTTCAATTTGGAGGCATTTTTCATCAGACTTTCCATGACATTTTATCCACTTGTTAAACTAATCCTCCAAAGCACAATAATGTTTTCAGAATATTCAAGAGGCCAAATCTGGAAGAAATTTCTGAAAAAAAAGGTGTACCAACTTGAAAACCGAATCCTACCTTGATTAAAAAAACCTCAAGCCCCAAGTGATAATAATATTGTAAAGCTTCAGAAAAATGAAAACTCTGTGGACACAGACGGGGAAAAAAAGGTCAATAAAACAGGTAATTTCTTCTTGTGCAGCTTCTTGTGCAGTTTTTTTCGTGCAGAAGCTTGACCAGCTCGGGGGAGCTCCCTGCTTGCTGCCCCGGCCCCAATGCACAGGCACCACGCAGCTCCCCTGAGACCAGGATCTGCCCTGGGCTCGGCTATGTGGGTGCTCAGCACATGGGCATGTGGTCCCGAGGACCCATGGCACAAATAAGATGAGCCTGCAGGAAAATACTCTGTGTTTGCTGTGGAAATCTAGTAAAGGAAAAGCAGCTCTGTGGTTCAGAGAATGTTTTGGAGCGGTGYGTGTAACATGAATCCAGTCAGCCCGTGTTCAAGGATAAAAATACATGTTAGACTGAAAAACAGAGTTTCCTGCGTCTGAGAACGGGCAACTTTCTGCCTCTCTGCAGTGGTGACCACGGAGGAAGGACACAGACACTCGGCACGGCTTCCTGACCGCTCCGGGAAGGTGAATAAGACCCCATAGCAGCAGGGCAGCCGCGAGGGCAGAGGGCTTCCAAAGCTGTGCTAGCCAAGCCTTGCCGAGGACAGTGACAACAATGTTCCCTGCTCCGATGGACGGCGGGTGGCCTCGCACAGAGAAAGCTCCTTTCCACCCGCGTCCTTGCTTGGGTCTCTCCCTGGGCTTTCCATAGGGAAACACCCAAGTGCACACACGATGGGGAGCACTGAGGCTCAAAGAAGTGCTAATTGAACCCCCATTGCAAGGCTGCTGCAGCTGCCACGAGCCCAGGTGCCCGGCAGGCTGGGGAAGTTGGTGCTCCTGGGCCGCACGTGCATGCGCCAGCTCCTGGGCTCCAGGCGCATCCGATGCTGCTGGGATTTGCTGGGCGTCCTACAGGGTGAGGGTGCTTGCGGGGGTGCATCTGGAGAACACGTACAGCTTGGGGTCCTGAGTGCGTATATATGCCAAGAGTAATGAATATGCAGAGCTTTTTTGATACCAAAACTAAATCAGGAAATCAGAAAATCAGTAACAGGAAAAAAATGTAATGAATATGTATTTCCATTCCTATTCAGAAATAGTATTTTTCATTTTAGCTCTTATTCTTGCTGAAACTTGACTTTTTTTTTGTTTGTTTTAAAAGCATCTAATACATTTAACACTAGATTGAAAAGTTTACCTGSATTTTGTCTGAGAGACTGTTCAGACTCAGATACTAGCTGAAGAGGCTCCTAAGACCTGAGATTTTAACAGACCTCCCAAAGAGATTATAAAAAGATTTTCAAAGGACTGCTCTACATTCACAGTATTYCTTCCCTCTAGAAATGATAAAAATAAAACATGTCCTGTCTCCAAAAAGCTCTGATAACTCTGATGAAGTTTTCCTAAAGATATCTATTTCCTTTGCATTACTTAAGAGCGTAACTCCCCCATATGGCTGAGGACACAGCTGCTGCAAATGGCTTAAAAATGAGGAAACGGACAAGTTTCCATTTGGATGACTTATTTGTACACTTCACCAAGAACATTACTATATCATACTTGCGAGACCTTGTTGCCTATTCTTTAGAGTGCTTGGATTTAAAGGGAGCTTTGTATTTTGGAGATTTATGCACGTATTTACATGAGGATTCTAAACTTACTGATGTCATGCGGTTAGGCTTGCTATCTTTTCCTAAGTTCCCCAAGGAAGCATGAGCATACATGTCAGTGATGATCACAAAGATGCAGACAGGTCATATTATTCAAAGATTTGTATTAACAGTTTGGATGTTTAGGTTTCCAGTGGAATTTACTGTTGCATTTGCCGGCTGCGTGACAGTAAATCTTTAGGGCTCTGGGGATGTTTGAAGATACTGCAGTTCATGTAAGCATCTGTATGGCCTTAAACTGGATAGCAGATACCCACAAGGACATGGGTCCTTTAGAACATGGTGAAGCACTGCATAGTGCTTAAAATCTGGGAAATGGGGATAGGAACAGAGAGTAGAATATAGAATTCAAAGCTAAAGAATTTCAACGAATAGAGAATTTTACCTGGTTTTACTGATTCTGTATTAAAAAAGCAAGAGGTATCTACACTGGCAACAACAAAAGTAACAATAAGGTAACCCAGCACTCAGGAATCTTTGAAAATACACCAAAAATCCAAACTACAGCGCTCAGGGTAAAACCTGATCAAGGGTTTCTGCCACTTTTGCCAAGCGGATTATGGTAACATGCTCACCATCACACAGCAGTTCTGGCATGTAACTTCTTACAGTCCCCACTGATGAAGAAAGGATACATTTCTAACTTAATCCAGACTGCCACATGGTAAAGCCATCTGGGAGGATATTTTGAAGGAAACAGATGGAAAAGGAAGAGATTCCTCTGAATGTAGTGTAAGATTTACATTATCCTCCATGAACTTCCATGTAGTCCCCATGTTTATATAATTTATCACTATTTCCTTAGACAGCTCAGATTAGGAAGCCTGCATGAGCTCATGTTCTTGCTGTTAATTCTGAGCCTGAACCTTCCTCCTTTAAAGGGAAATTCAGTAGTGTAAAAAGCAAATGGAGAAAGGCAACTGGGTTTAAGGGAAACCCAGCCTCATGAAGTTCCTATTTGTCCCAGAATTATGTTGCTTTACCTCCCCCTTCTTTCAGCCTCTGGAAGACCCTCCCGAGCGCTTGCTCCAAACCATAGTCTTGGTTCTCAGCCCCGCACCCGCACCCAACAAAACCGCAGCGTTTTGTCAATGTAAGTGTGGGAGCAGAGGGGCCTATTATCGTCGTGAAAGGTTAAAGACAAGGCAGAGATTTCACTGAAAACACTTCAAGCCAAGATTTTTTTTTAAAAAAGAAATGTTCTCTGAGTGAAGGCATAGCACACAAATAATTTAAACAGTATAATTTCACTAGTCGTACTGTGATGACTGGGGATTTCTAAAAAGCGCTCGCTCTCCTTTCATGCATTCTTCTGTGCCTCTTTGTTTTCTATGCAAACATTTCCATTAGTAATGGGAGTTTCAAAGGGCCTCCTCTTCTCCCTCTCTCCCCACGGAGATGCTGCAGAGGCTCCATGCACAAAGGACTGCATCCCACYGGCTGCATCCATGGCATCCCAGGCACAGGGAAGGAAAGGCCAGGCAGATCCATTTGGGATCTCCTGTTTCGTATGTTCAGATGTTCATTCTTTCACCACCACTGAAATCTCTTGTTAGCAAGAGAGTCCCAAATCCCCCTTTTTTTCCTAACTCTGGCCTCAGACCCAGCCTCATGTCCTCCTGCTCCCTCCCTTGCGTGAGGGCAAGTGTCCGACCAACGCTCAAAAAAACCCTTTCAGGAAAATATCCCTGGCAGCAAGGATTTCTGCCAGGCTGGGCCAAGCGAGAGCAACAAGCCCAAACCCTGTGGGAYGAGAGGACACAGCAAGGCGAGCGGCCTCCCTCCTGCCTCACGGGTCCGGCCCCCTCGCACTGCACGGCCTAGGCCTCCCGACCACGCGGGTGCCATGGAGTGGAYGCTGGCTTTGCGCCCACGCGCAGATTTACTGCCACGCCGGGCTAGGAATAGCGTGGTTGTGGCCCTAGCAGTCGAAGGATATAAGTGAGACGGGGAGAAGAAATATCTTTTATTAGAACGACTCGGTGTGTTTTGAATTGTGTGCTGCAGACGGAGGTTATAGATGGTAAGTCCTCCGGGGCCKATGTTGTGTTTCTTGTGTGAGTTGGTCTAATAAAAGACATTACCTCTCCTTGCAAAACTTACCTCACTTGAAAATACTACTACATTTACCCTCAATGTTATCTCTCCCATTAGGAGACATTAATATTATTGTCAGTGCCACTGATTCATCACTGCTGCGATCATATTGATTTCTTTTGTGGAAACCTGATTCCTGCGCATACTTTTGAGAGTTACATCATTTTACCCCTTCAACTCACAGCTAGAATGTTTTCTGTTCCTTATGTAACAGCTCTTAATTCAGATTACAGGAGACATTACAATAATGTACACTATACAATAATGTATTAAAACCATAAGGTGGAATAACAAAAGTAATATTACCTTGTGAAAGTAGACATCGTTCCAGAAAAGCAATGGGCCCTTTATGCTCTTGACTCAGCAATCACTCATGTTCACCCAAGTATGGTAGCCCAGACCCACGGACTGAGGCAGCATGGACCTTTTCCCATACCCGTGCAGTTTTCTGCACGAAAGTAGCAGAGCTCAGACTATCTTTTTACACAGAATGGGCCAGGGAAAGAAAATAGAAGAGATGGCAGAAGAATGTGTCTAAAGTGTCTAAAGAATGTATATCAGCTTTTCTTACCTGAGCAGGCTTCTTTTGAACCACTTGCTGAGGCTGAAAGGAAAAATGAAAGGACAGTGAGAAACAAAATTCGTCCAGGTCACTTCACAGTGATTTCAAGGATGCTAGAAAAATACTTGCATCATATGAAGTAAAATATAGGCAAAGCACACATCCAGAAATGCAGTGACGGACATACCCTGCCGTCACCCAGCTTACACTTAACTGTGACCATTACTCTGAAGTAATTCAAAATACCGTGGATCCACAGGAATATATAATTACATATAATCAAATTAAGATCTGAAGAAGACCTTTCAGCTCTTGCATGCTACAGCTACAGCATGCTACATGCTTTGCTCYGTTACTTGTCAGACTGTGAGCGTGGCCTAATCCTGTAACCAGATTTTGTTGTCTCCACTGACACTATTCACACTTTGGGATCGTGCCCGCGGACATGATTTTGGGGCCACCAGCCATCCGGGTGGTTTGGTGTGCAGGCCAGGAGAGCGAGAGCTGTCTTGGCCAGGTGGACATTCAGCTACAGGCAGGCACTGTGCTCTGAAAGCTGCAAATCGACATGTCTCTGGTCTGGTCAGTCCCTTTGGAAATGGGAAATACGGTTCCTGGGGGAGCCTGGAAACCCACTGGGCTACCCATACCCTTCATCAGAGCAGAGGAGGAGGAATAATGATTAACTAACTATCATCCATACACTTAAAATACACCACTGCCACTCTGGTTATGTGACCTTCGTGAGACCTAGGAGCAGCACAAAACAGTAAGAGCACAGATAAAGGATGAAATCCTGACACCATGAGCACAAAAGGGCTTTTCTTCCTTCAGTGGGACAAAGCTGTCTTTCCCCTCACCCCTCACRGGATTTTCTGTTTTCAAAACGCATGAATTGCACCCAGTGATCTTCTTCCTGCCCTTCCTTCCTGCTTGTCTTAATCCTGGCCATGACTTTAGTGCCTTCCTTGAGCAGAAGCCAACAGGCCTTCCTCCTGGATGGCCAAAAACCTAATTCTCTTGACATTGTTGTAGGAAATAACTGGAATATTTTTGAATAAACAGTTTAGTGTAACTGGCCTTTCAGRGCAATATTTCAGTGGGAAGGATCAATGAAAATGTAAATTAAATGTAACTGATTCAATTCAGGCTGCCTACCACAAACCTCCCATTTTAACAAGAGATGCTTTGTTTATTTTCAGTCCTTTTCTAGTCCAGCAGAGTTCTGTTGCTGTTATATTTCCGTATCTATGCCTCAGGCTCTCAAATAAATGAGAGAAAAGAATGTGTGATGGCAGGGTCCATTTTTAAACGTCAGGGTGGCTCCTCCTCTCTTCCATTAAACTCCCTTGCAGCAGAGAAGCTATTACCAAAACACCCCCTTATTGATGTGTTCTCCAGGTGGACCRCAAGCCCTGCAAGGGTTATGGACATTTGCTGCCCTTGGACAGAGAAATTATTCATTTCAAAGCAAATCCTTATAATTACAGAATCCATTAAGCTCTTCGATGATCTGTCATTAGTGCTCTTCTGCTTTATTTTCCTTTTTTTTTCCTGCTGATTACACCTGTACACATGTTTGCTTGCAAACCACATYGAATTCGCAGCCATTCTTAGAGGCTGACTGCTTTCTCCAGCTCAGAAATCCCCATATATTTTTGGCTGTGCACTCGGCATTCATGTGACTCTCACACACTGTAGCTCAATGAAATCTTCTGAAAGAGCTGCCAACTCACCAAATTTTCCATGAATTAAGTCCTGACACTTCAATGAGAGGAAAGACAATGTCTGAAACAAGGCCAGCTCTGGCTTTCTGCCTAGTATGTGTCACAGTAATTCTACCAGCTGCCCTTCTACACAGCACTTCATACTTTTCAGACCACCAAAAAGCCCCTTGAATACTTCCAGTGATAGCTGGGGCTCGAGCTGCCAGCATGTTTTCCCAGCCTCTGGCACCCAGTGGCTACAGACCGGACCTAGAAAGTTTTTGTGTGTGTTTGCTTTGCTTTGTTTTTATTTTTATGAATGGCCCTTGCAGGGGACTCTGACTCAGGCACAATACTATACAGCCATTCATAAAAAGCAGAGGGAAAATACTGTACTTTGCCCAATTGGAAACGGTTGCTGATACGGACCAAGCCTTGCAAGAGCCTGACTCATTCGAGACCTTTGCTATCTTAGCACTTAACATCAAGAGCTCCCTGGCAGCGTTTRCTCCCTGCCAGCTACGCTGCTAGTGGATTTGCGAGCCGCAGCGTGGCGCACATCAGGTGTTTGCTCTTAAAYGCACAGAGATCAAAGAGCAAGAGCAGGGTGCAGGCCCCTGGACACATCCCCTGGGAAGCGCCCCTGGCTGCACCAAGTGCTCTAGCTTGAGTCAGGGTGGMGGGGCAAGTGCTGGGGCTCGGGGCACTGCTCTTCCTGCTGGGCTCCTGCTGAGGAGCTGATTCACCTGCACTGAAATGCCAGCTGGATAAACCAAGCAAGGCCTGCTGCTGCAAGGACTCCAGTGTCCCCTACCTCCAAGACAAGGCACTCAGTTTATCCCAAACCTAAAGAACTGAGGCATACAGGAATGACAAAATCATTTCCTAAAAGTGCCTCCTCCTACATCTTTAGCTAACTGTTGTGCATGTGGAAACCCCTTGACACGCCAGCGAATGAAACGTGCCTACTCGCTAAGCTTTGTGTTCACTGAGTTAAGAGATCTTTCCAGAACTTCAAAGGAGACACCTCTGATAGAAAAGACTTGCAACTGCATGTTCAACTAGCTGGAGAGAAAGAGAATCTGTCTTGGTTATGAAAAAGATTGGGAGCATACAAAAGCCAAGCACAAGAGACTTAAAGAGGAACTTTGGAGCACAATAAAGCTGTACGCAAGCCATGAGAGCATGGAATTATTATGGATCCTTCCAGAAACCTACAGAGCAGGACAGAGCATCACCTGCTTTGGCAGATGCTTTCTCCTTACTGCAGTGATTCAACCTAAACAAAGCTTTGTGGAACACTGAACTTTCACATTTTATTTTTATCCCAACTTTAAAAATTGTTTTTAACTGAATGTGTATCAGTTGACCTGAAAGCAAAGTTTGCCTTTGTAGATCCAATGCAAGTAAATCTTACAAAACTTTCTTGAATCTGATGATATAGAGAGTTCAAGTGACAGAAAAATTCATTTAAGTGTCTGTCATACAAAAAGAAATACAAATACAGCAGAATTTGTTTTGACAGATTTAAACTATTAAGTATGTTGGCTAAGATAAAATATAGTAATTTAAAATTTCATGATAAGATTCCTAAGTTTGAAGAAAAAAAAAAAAGCCCACAGAACAATATAGACAAATCGTTTTGTGGTTTTGTCTTTGATTTTAAGCTTTGCATTTTCAAAGCGCAACCGTTTATCATCTACAGCACTTTTTCTGACACTTCACCCTTTCAGTTTCAGAATTTCAGTTTCAAATTCTGTCACTTGACTTTTTTTTCCCAATATCTCAGATACATCTTCACAGCCAAAATCTTGCTCAGGTATTTCCTTGTCACTCACAAAACCTATAACATGAAGTAACTTCTCCCTAGGCCAGTGCATACACATATTGGTCAAACAATTTCTCTACCTTCTATATGAGAATGAAAGAACAGCCTCCTGTGACAAGTCCACATTCATCTTGCACCAGGAATCAAAAACTGATCAAAATCAACCCATCACACTTCTGACTCTCTGCAGTACTTCTTACCTTATGACTTTTCAGAATGTTACGGAAAACTTGTAAGGATAAGGGAAGCCTATGCCAGTGCTAGACCACATATTTCACGATTAGAGATAAAAGCCCCGCTTTTCAATGCAAGACATTCACCAAGGGCTGTGCCCGGAGCTCCATGAGCGCACTGCCTGTCCCAGGGCCTCCAGACTGTGCAATTGCAGCTTCCTCTCTAAATTGAGCATTATGAAGATGTTTGACCGACAGCTCTTGGCAAGAGTGACTCTTCCCTTCATTCCCAGAGCTTGACGAGACGTTTGTATGGAGGTAGCTCTGCCGCTGAGACTAAATGACCATGATGGAAACTAATACCCAGTTAGGATGACATTTATRGTGCTGACAGCTCAGTGTTGTGTGGAGATCATTAAAATAATTTCATAGGTCACCCAAACACTTGTAGTTCTAAATTAAAAGATGAGTAAAACCATATTTAGACTTTTTGTCTACATATCCTAGAAAAATCAGGAAGTACATATTATACCAGTTGAAACCAATATAATCCAAAATAAATCATGTCTTCCAAGCAGTTCCATATGACAGCATAATAACTACTGTTCTGCCCTACAGCTTTAATTGGTCGGAGTCCAATCTTTTCCTCCCTCTACGAGGATACAGTGATGCAGTGCCGGGYTTGGGAGGCCAGGAGTCTGGGAGAGAGTCCCCCCTCCTTGAAAAAAGCTGCTTTTAGCTTCATGACCAGCAGGAGGAACCACCACAGACTGAGGGGGACAGTATGCCTGTCATCTACTGCTCTGGGGCTTTGCAATTGTGAGAAATCTACCACTGTGACAAAGGTTGGATCAAAGCAACTGAAAAAGTAAGGAACRATACACCCTGTGCCACTTGCTGTAGGTGTCCCTGAAGGAGCAGGGTGGGTTGGACTAGATCATCTCTAGAGGTTCATTCCAACCTCAACCATTCTGTGATTCYGTGATTCTATTCCAGGTACATGCATGGCTTTATTTAGAAATTCCCTTGCTTGAGAGAGGTTTGCATAAGTGCTTTGACACCATCAAGGTGTCAAAGGTGTCATTCTCCCAGATGCCCAGCAGCAGTTGCCCACGTTTTGGAAACACGGGCCATGAACTCTCTCGCCCGCGCTGCCTGTTGCAGTCAACTGGCAACCATGGTGTCTGTGTGCGCACGCTGCTGTGGGTCATTACAACCTAACAGCAAAACCATCTGGCCCTTCAAATGAGTTCAAATGAGATTTCACAGTCCTCCATGCAGTCTCATAAATGAAGCTAATAGTAATCTGTGGAGAATTCTGGCAAAATCTGTGGA